TGTTTTTCGTAGAGATAGGGTCTTACTGTGTGTTGCCCAGACTGGTCTCAAACTCCTGGGCTCAAGCAATCTTCTTTCCTTGACCTCCCAAAATGCTGAGATTACAGGCAAGAGTCACCAATAAAATAAAAGCTAGCCCGGCCTAGCTTTCTTTTTGAGACGGAGTTTCACTCTTGTTGCCCAGGCTGGAGTACCGTGGTGCAATCTCAGTTTACTGCAACCTCCGCCTCCTCGGTTCAAGTGATTCTCCCATCCCAGCCTCCTGAGTAGCTGGGATTACAGGCACCCGCCACCATACCTGGCTAATTTTTGTATTTTTAGTAGAGATGGGGTTACATCACATTGGTTAGGCTGGTCTCGAACTCCTGACCTCAGGTGATCCGCCCACCTTGGCCTCCAAAAGTGCTGGGATTACAGGCATGAGCCGCTGCGCCCGGCCCCCAGCTTTTATTTTTTATCACAGTTTTAGGTTTATAGAATAATTAATAGTACATGGAATTCCATACTCCCACCCACAGTTTTCCCTGTTAACATCTTGCATTTGTTACAATTGATGAACCAACATTGGGTTCGCTCTGCAGAAATTCCTTTTGAAAAACATCTTGTGTATTAGTTTCCTGGGCTAACAGAGTACTACAACCTGCGTGGCTGAAACAACCGAAATATAATCTCCCAGTTCTGGAGGTCAGAACGTCCAAGGGGAAGGTGTTGGCAAAGCTGTGCTCTCTGAAGGCCCCGGGGAGAGCCTGTTCCTGCCTTCTGCGTGGCTTCTGGTACTGCCACAGCCCTTGGCCCTCCTGGGCTTGAAGACTGTCGCTCTGCTGTCTGCCACTGTCTTCACGTGGCGTGTGTGTGTGTGTGTGTCCTCTTCCCTTGTTATACGGATGCTAGTCATTGGATTTAGGGCTCACCCTAATTCATTGTGACTTCAATGTAATTCGATTATCTCTGCAACCTACCCCATTTCCAAACAAGGCCACAGTCGCAGATACTGGTCAGGGCTTCAGCGTGTCTCTTCTCGGGGACGTAGTGCAGCCAGGACACCCATCTTGCTCCGGTCATTTTGGAATTTATCCTAGGGCATGGGTCTCCTCCCTATGCCACAGGGCATCTGGGCTCCCTCCTGCACCCTCCCCTCCACCTACCTGGCCACGCCCACCTGGTATCCCTCTCCCCAGGCTCCAGCAGCTCCTGCGGTCTCCCACTCTGCAGGTGCGGCTGGGAACTTCCTGTGCCCCGCCGGCGCCTTGTCCTTCAACGCCTTCAAGACCGTGATGGACATCGACACCG